TCTCTCTCTCTCTCTCTCTCTCTCTCTCTCTCTCTCTCTCTCTCTCTCTCTCTCTCTCTCTCTCTCTCTCTCTCTCTCTCTCTCTCCGTCTCCATTTCCCTATCTATCTATCTATCTATCTCTATCTGTATTTCTCGATCGACTGATCGATCGATGAATCTAAGAAAGTGTGATTAATAGCGAGGAATGTCAGAAATATACGTGCAGTATGTCATAAAACACTGGTAATGAGGTCGATGAATGTAATGAAGAGATGTCATTGGTAATGAAGTTTTTTCAAAACTCGCTCGTTTAAGATAACTTCGATTTTATGCGGTTGATGAATATGAAGGAAGTACATGAAAAAAAAAAACAATGGAGCGTATTGGTTTTAACTACGTAAATTACTAGTTATAATAAGCACCCCACTCTTTTAAGGTAACCCATACTACGTATTACTACAACAAATAAAATCCAATGAACATGACTACAAATGGACGTATTGAAACATTAGCTCACATAAAGATATGGCACGTTGTCATGTGCAGTGTAAACGACAATGGAGGATAACCTTAGATGCAAAAAATGATGGACCGTTCACTTGGCAACAACGAATTTGACAGAGAGAGAGATGTCGGCCCTCACGCGTTTGCGAGTGAAACTTGGGGATAGCGAAGTCATAGCAAGTTCATTCAACGAAGACACAAAAGAAGAATTAACGATGACAGTCGGAGATCTTAGCTTGCTAATGATAGAAAAAAAGTGGTTGAACGACCAGATAGTGAATTTTTATCTTAACCTTGTCCGACTGGACAATGAGTGTCGTGTGAAGCACCATAATTACAATTCGAAGAACGAAAACGTCGTTAGAATAGGAAAGGGGCACATTCCTACAATAGCAGTTTTAAGATCGTTGTTTTTCGCAAAACTATTTGATAGCGATATGAAGTTCGATTACGATCGTGTTCGTAGATGGTTCACAGAGGTCGTGATTAGCGACATGGATTTGATCATTGCACCTTATCACGTCGTGCAAAACCAACATTGGACACTCGTAGTGGCAGACCTCAGGCGTATGAAAATTGAGTACTACGATTCGCCGACGCCGGATGTAGAACTCCCGGCGAAGGTGACAGGGGAGTTCGCAAAATATCTGTACATGAGGTCGGTCGAACAAGGTCAAGAAATTGACACGAAAAACTTCAACCACATATGGGAAGTGGAAGGCATTCCAAAGCAGCGCGACTTCAACGAATGCGGTGTGTTTATGCTGACATATGCATCACTATTGGCGAGAGGGTTTCTTCCACCTTTCACGTTCATATCAGATGACACAAAGAAAATACGATGCCGGATAGCTTTCGACGTAGCTGTTGTGGAGTAGACGATTTTGTTTCATTTTCAGTATAGATGTTCAGATACATGAAATGAACATGTACTGATCAAAAATTACATCTGATAAAGCTGGGAAAGAGTTTGTAAGTGTAACGAGGATTAATTATGCGGTTCACGATGAATGTAACTGGTCATGCAATAAGGACATCTTATGAAAGGTCATCTTATCTCTTATATTTGAGGCTCCTGTAGTCCTTACCTCTCACCCCGCACCCCTTACCCCTTGCCCTTTACCCCTCACCCCCCCC